GGGGGGGGAAAGGGAGGTGGAGGAACAATCGAGCGGAGGGTGACGAGGTACCCGAGGGGCAGAAAAATCTTCCCCCCACTTCCCCTCGCCTTCCCCGCAGGAGACCGCTCTGGAGCCGCCTGTGGTTTGGAAATCATGAATTAAAGCGGCGCCGTAGTTGATGTGGCGGATCTGAACTAGGGTCAACTGGCCTAGCAAAAGATTGCCTCATTTACGGGTTCATAACTTTCGACGACATCTTCTTAACGTTTTGGATTGATCTTTGTTGACTTGCTGGCAGGAAAAATTTATGCTTTATGAACACTGTTTTAATGTTTGTCATTTTTTTGAGGTAGTAATATTGGTAAATTGGAAACAACGGCAACATATGATGCAAAGACGGATGAGTTCATCTTACATACTCCGTCGGTGTCAGCCACAAAATGGTGGCCCGGAGGTCTTGGCAAATCCTCAAACTACGCTATCGTTCCTGCTCAGTTGATCATCAATGGCAGCAACAAAGGCCTGCATATGTTCATTGCACAGCTCAGGGATCTCACTACGCATATGCCTTTGCCAGGTTATCCTATAGAATTTGTTCTTTTATAAGACCTTTTTTTATGTCAAGATATCAGATAAAAGTTTTCTTGAAAATGTTTTAGAATGTTATGGATTTTGTTTGTTTGAATTGTTCTTTCGCATTTTCGGCGTAAAAAATATAATTTTTCGAAATAAATCATGGTAGACGTGATCAACATACACCAGAAATATCTCAAACCTACCAAAGTCATACCAGATTTCTGTTGGGACAACCGTAAAACAAGTAATTCCATCAGGAAACGAGGTGTACATCAAAAAAGCTAAGCAGCAGCGTCGTTTCACTAGTCAACGCAACTCATAAATCTGTCAACTGTACAGATGGCGATGCAGTCTGTGAATTACAGCTAATCCATGGCATATTAAGGTGCGCTGATGTAATTATAGTGGGAAATCGTGTAAAACACAACTAATATAGACATATAATCATTGCAACGTAAGCATAATCTAAGCTAGGAAATATATGGAACGCGTAGAACAGTCGCTAATTTCTTCGTAGTCTGTTTTTTTCCTCTGTGCAGCTGACAACTTTTCTGTCTGTTTTGACCTAAGCCGCATCGCCCGATGTTAAGCCTGCTAAAAATTCTTGCGTTCGTTTTTGTTTCTGGAAGGGATCACGGATTGAAGGGTTCTCCGAACAGAACCATTTTAGCAAGATTGGTGCTGTCTCGAGATTTCGTTGTTTTGTATTCGGCTCACGGTCTCGTCTTGAACTTTATTTCTTGTCCACGAAGAGTGGTGTCTTACCTGCTGGAATTTGTGAAAAAACAAATGTAAATTGTAAAATAAACCATGGAATAATGAACTGAACTTTGTAAATTACCAGCGACAGTTTAAGGCGTCACTGTTGGTGATATTGGTCCAAAAATGGGTATTCCCGGAAACGATAATGGTTTTCTTATTTTCAACAATTATCGTATTCCACGTACCAATATGCTTATGCGTCATTCAAAGGTAAAATTTTATAACATCCTTTCATTGGACAGTAGGACACCTTTAATATTAATCTCATCTTCTTTTTATGTTACGATCTTCCCATAAATAATAATTTGTAGTATTTTTTTTAATGTAATTTTGTTCCTGAAGCCTATACTCGAAAATATTTTGGTGGCAGCAGTTTTGACAGCAAAAAAGCACTTTTAATCCATGCTTTAATAATAAAAAATTGTTAGCAGCACTAATAAATAATTTTTTTTATTAGCAGAAATGCTTGGATCATCTCTTTTACGTTGATTCTGCCTCCTGAAGATATTATCTTAGTTCTTCTGGCAAAGCGTTTGGCAAGGTTTTAGCCGTTTCAGAGTTTTCATAATTTGCGTTGCACATCAAGGAGGAATTTCTTTTTTATTATAAGGTGCTAAAGAATTTCTCAAATTTTTACAAAAGAACGGCGATAATAACAAAGATGCTGCATGACAGTATCAGCATGATCATAAGTGGATTGAATTTGGCCTACGTAAAATTTATGGCAAATTTTTGATTTGTGCCATTCTGTTTCTTTATTTGGGCAATTCCAGTAATTTGCTAGTTGCTTTGGCAGTTTTAAGATATCATCTAGCGGTGATTACGTTGCTCCCGAACATTCGAAGCTGGGTTATAGCACCATGGTATTTGTTCGATCAATTATGATACGTGATCAGGCTCTGCAGCTAGCAGCCGCTGTTACTATTGCGATACGTTATTCTGCTGTCAGACGACAGGGTGAATTAAAATCTGCGTGAGCTTTACGATGCAATTATTCATGTAAATAAGGCTGCTGTTCAGGCATTCTTGATAGATTCAATCTACTCATTGCCGTACTACAAATCTCTGTTCAAGCAGGGCGAGATTTCCACTCGAACAACTGTTTTTACACAGTCATTTTTTTCAAAAACCCGCGAAGGACTGCGCTACGATATCGCTTGTCGGCTTCTTTTAGCCGTTTTCCTGAATTGTGACACTATGACTCGAATGAGACCCCCTTCTGGTATGAATTAGGAGTGTCGAACCACTACCCTATATGTGGTATGCAACCCTCGCACTACACCAGCACCAATTATGCTCCAAATTCAGTCTGGCAGCACATGTACCATATGCCCTTCAAGACAGAATACACCTTTCTTCCCTTGGCTACCTCACATAGGCAGTATACAGTTCTTTTTTACTTTCATTCTGCTGGTTTTTCACGACAGAAGGGTCGTTCGGCTGTTAATAAATTCGTTAGTATTATTTTCTGTTTACTGCTAGTTTATCATCTATTTTTGGAAGAGTGGTGCACGTACGGTAGTTTCAAATTGGTCGTAAACAGCTCAGAATGGAGCATTGCAGCGTAACTACGGCGTATTTTTTACGGTTCATTTTCTCCAGACAGTTTTGGTGAAATACCGCAAAGGTTTATGGAAATAATTTTGTGTTTTCGCTTACTGCCAAATTTAGTGCAAAGGAAGCGCAGATTCTTGATTATCGTACCCAGCAGTATCGGATATTACCACATGCCGCTCGAGCTCTAGTGTTTCTATTTGCTGCTGAGGAAATTAAGAATTTATATCAAAAGGTACTTTTTAAAACATTGGTCCATTGTTAAATTTATCGGAATATTTTGAAGTGACGGGATTTTTGAAAGTTTTACAAGGGAATTTGAAAAATTGTTGGGGCTCGGTATCCTCACAAATGTTTTTTTAAATGTTAAATTAATGCATTGTTTATTTAATGAAAATCATATATGTGACTATATTATTCCTCATTTCTATAGAAATATTATTTTCAGTAATTTTGCTTTCAAATTCTTATCGACCATTGTACATTCACATCGAAATTCATGCTTCATTGATGCATTAGCATTGCCGGATTCCATTTTTTCCACAATTCAGTCTTTCTCCTGCATTTTTTTTAATTTTTTTTTTTTTGCACTGCCCTTGTTCACCTTTTTCAGGTTTCCGTCCAAGTTGGTGAAGGTAATACGGAATTGTTGCAAGAATTGCACGTTCTTAGTTCCGGTCTTAAATCTGTTGTGTCGTGGGATGTTGCGCAGGTATGTACGCAGTTCTTCACTCCTAATTTGGGGGATTACTAATTTATACAGCTTCTATCAAAAATGGCCGCAGTTGTGCTGCATTTGAAAAAAATATCATTTCAAGTATTCCTAGCTTAGTGAACTCAGTGCTAAGCATCGTGGCAGTGAATTTTAGTAGCTTTACTGGTCCATTTGAAAATAAAAACCCCTGAAAAGGTGTTATTTTTTATGCATACATTGTTAAAAATATTTCTGGAATTGTTTAGCTCGCTAACATCCAGGATAGATAATAAAATGAGCTAAACTGCTTCTTAAAAAAAAAACGAGTGCCACGACAGAAAGTCTCCCAAATACCTCTGCTTTCGGAATCAAAATTTTTTGAAAACTTCTGTGTCACTAACTTTTGCTGCACCTCTTATGGATAATGTGAAATGGGTTACTTGAATAAGGAAAAAGTGTTTACCCTATGAATAAGGAATAAAATACCAAAGAGATTACTTGGGCGGTGAAAAAAATAGGAAAAATGAAGCATCTTGCAAAGATTTTTTTTAGAAAGGGGCGCCAGATTCATCATCAAGTTAGGTGATACAGAAACCACAGAAAACTTGTCTTCTGCATTTGTGCCATAATAAAAGATGAATTGATCAAAAAAAGTACGCAGAGATTAAATCCAGGCTCATTTTGTTTCCTCTCGAACTTTTATGTTCAAATATTTTGAAAATGTTTTGTAAAGGGTGGCTAATTTTCTCACATATTAGCTCCTTTTTTTGTCACAGAATCTTTTTTAGGGGATCGAGCAGTGTCGATTAGCTTGTGGTGGACATGGTTATTCGCATGCATCCGGTTTACCAGAAATCTATGCATTTGCCGTC